TTTTTATTTTTTGTCATGAATCAACAACAAGTGGGACACAATCGTGAAGTGGAATGAAATGTATTAGATGATTTAAACTTTTTTAACAAATAAAAAACTGAAAAGTGGGGCGTGCAATATTATTCGGCCCCTTTACTTTCAGTGCATCAAACTCAGTCCAGAAGTTCAGTGAGGATCTTTGAATGATCCAATGTTGTCCTAAATGACTGATGATGATAAATAGAATGCACCTGTGTCTAATCAAGTCTCCGTATAAATGCACCTGCTCTTTGATAGTCTCAGGGTTCTGTTTAAAGTGCAGAGAGAACCATGAAGACAAAGGAACACACCAGGCAGGTCCGAGATACTGTTGTGGAGAAGTTTAAAGCCGGATTTGGATACAAAAAGATTTCCCAAGCTTTAAACATCTCAAGGATCACTGTGCAAGCAATTATATTGAAATGGAAGGAGTATCAGACCACTGCAAATCTACCAAGACCCGGCCGTCCCTCCAAACTTTCATCTCAAACAAGGAGAAGACTGATCAGAGATGCAGCCAAGAGGCCCATGATCGCTCTGGATGAACTGCAGATAACTACAGCTGAGGTGGGAGAGTCTGTCCATAGGACAACAATCAGTCGTGCACTGCACAAATCTGGCCTTTATGGAAGAGTGGCCATTTCTCAAAGATATCCATAAAAAATCTCTTAAAGTTTGCCACAAGTCACCTGGGAGACACCAAATATGTGGAAGAAGGTGCTCTGGTCAGATGAAACCAAAATCAAACTTTTTGGCCACAATGCAAAACGATATGTTTGGCATAAAAGCAACACAGCTCTTCACCCTGAACACACCATCCCCACCTCAGCTGTAGTTATCTGCAGTTCATCCAGAGTGATCATGGGCCTCTTGGCTACATCTCTGATCAGTCTTCTCCTTGTTTGAGATGAAAGTTTGGAGGGAAGGCCGGGTCTTGGTAGATTTTCAGTGGTCTGATACTCCTTCCATTTCAATATAATTGCTTGCACAGTGCTCCTTGAGATGTTTAAAGCTTGGGAAATCTTTTTGTATCCAAATCCGGCTTTAAACTTCTCCACAACAGTATCTCGGACCTGTCTGGTGTGTTCCTTTGTCTTCATGGTTCTCTCTGCGCTTTAAACAGAACCCTGAGACTATCAAAGAGCAGGTGCATTTATACGGAGACTTGATTACACACAGGTGCATTCTATTTATCATCATCAGTCATTTAGGAAAACATTGGATCATTCAAAGATCCTCACTGTACTTCTGGAGTGAGTTTGCTGCACTGAAAGTAAAGGGGCCAAATAATATTGCACGCCCCACTTTTCAGTTTTTTATTTGTTAAAAAAGTTTAAATCATACAATAAATTTGATTCCACTTCACGATTGTGTCCCACTTGTTGTTGATTCATGACAAAAAATTTAAATTTTATATCTTTATGTTTGAAGACTGAAATGTGGCGAAATGTTAAAAGGGTCAAGGGGGCCGAATACTTTCGCAAGGCACTGTATGTACCTGTGTCTATATGTACCTGTGTGTCTATATGTACCTGTGTGTCTATATGTACCTGTGTGTCTATATGTACCTGAGTGTCCATCGACAGCTGAGATTTCTCTAAGTCTATGTTAAATAATGTTCATATAGCGCTGTTACTCCCTGTCTACTTAGCTCTTATTTTGAAGATGCCACAGGATGTAGTCATGTTGTTCTACTGCTAACTTCCTCTGCGCTCACGGCCACGGCTGCGGTTCCCCGTGATGCCAAGTTGTTCAACTTCTACAATAAATATGCCCCAGACAAGAGGCTAAAGTTACCAACGTGAGAGCACCGTTTATTCTTCACTAGCCATCTCCTCGACCTGCACTCCTTAACAGTCTATCTCTAACTTTAGCTCTAACTCTAACCCTATCTCTAACTTATGGTACAGTGAATGCTCATATTGCAGACGGTTCACAGATACTAATCTCATGTTGTGTTCTTTGCTCTGATTATTTTCCTGTAAATTCGCAGCGAAACGTAATGAATCCAGATTCAGATAGCTCTCTTCTACTGTATCACAGTAGCTCTCTGTCTCTTCTGCTGTATCACAGTAGCTCTCTGCCTCTTCTGCTGTTTCCCAGTAGCTCTCTTCTACTGTATCCCAGTAGCTCTCTTCTGCAGTATCACAGTAGCTCTCTGTCTCTTCTGCTGTATCACAGTAGCTCTCTTCTGCTGTATCACAGTAGCTCTCTGCCTCTTCTGCTGTATCCCAGTAGCTCTCTTCTGCTGTATCACAGTAGCTCTCTGTCTCTTCTGCTGTATTCCAGTAGCTCTCTTCTACTGTATCAAAGTAGCTCTATTCTGCTGTATCACAGTAGCTCTCTGTCTCTTCTGCTGTATCACAGTAGCTCTCTTCTGCTGTATCACAGTAGCTCTCTTCTGCTGTATCACAGTAGCTCTCTGTCTCTTCTGCTGTATTCCAGTAGCTCTCTTCTAATGTATCCCAGTAGCTCTCTTCTGCTGTATCCAGTAGCTCTCTTATGCTGTATCAGAGTAGCTCTCTGCCTCTTCTGCTGTATCCCAGTATGTCTCTGCCTCTTCTTTGTATCCCAGTAGCTCTCTTCTGCTGTATCCCAGTAGCTCTCTTCTGCTGTATCACAGTAGCTCTCTTCTGCTGTATCCCAGTAGTTCTCTTCTGCTGTATCACAGTAGCTCTCTGCCTCTTCTGCTGTATCACAGTAGCTCTCTTCTGCTGTATCCCAGTAGCTCTCTTCTGCTGTATCCCAGTAGCTCTCTTCTGCAGTATCCCAGTAGCTCTCTTCTGCTGTATCCCAGTAGTTCTCTTCTGCTGTATCACAGTAGCTCTCTGCCTCTTCTGCTGTATCACAGTAGCTCTCTTCTGCTGTATCCCAGTAGCTCTCTTCTGCTGTATCCCAGTAGCTCTCTTCTGCAGTATCCCAGTAGTTCTCTTCTGCTGTATCCCAGTAGCGCTCTTCTGCTGTATCCCAGTAGCTCTCTTCTGCTGTATCACAGTAGCTCTCTTCTGCTGTATCACAGTAGGTCTCTGTCTCTTCTGATGTATCCCAGTAGTTCTCTTCTGCTGTATCCCAGTAGCTCTCTTCTGCTGTATCACAGTAGCTCTCTTCTGCTGTATCCCAGTAGCTCTCTTCTGCTGTATCCCAGTAGCTCTCTGCCTCTTCTGCTGTATCACAGTAGCTCTCTTCTTCTGTATCCCAGTAGCTCTCTGCCTCTTCTGCTGTATCACAGTAGCTCTCTTCTGCTGTATCCCAGTAGCTCTCTGTCTCTTCTGCTGTATCACAGTAGCTCTCTTCTGCTGTATCCCAGTAGCTCTTTTCTGCTGTATCCCAGTAGCTCTCTTCTGCTGTATCACAGTAGCTCTCATCTCTTGTATCCCAGTAGCTCTCTTCTGCTGTATCACAGTAGCTCTCTGTCTCTTCTGCTGTATCCCAGTAGCTCTCTTCTGCTGTATCACAGTAGCTCTCTGCCTCTTCTGCTGTATCACAGTAGCTCTTTTCTGTTATATCACAGTAGCTCTCTTCTGCTGTATCACAGTAGCTCTCTGCCTCTTCTGCTGTATCCCAGTAGCTCTTTTCTGCTGTATCCCAGTAGCTCTCTGCCTCTTCTGCTGTATCACAGTAGCTCTCTTCTGCTGTATCCCAGTAGCTCTCCTCTGCTGTATCCCAGTAGCTCTCTTCTGCTGTATCCCAGTAGCTCTCTGCTGTATCCCAGTAGCTCTCTGCCTCTTCTGCTGTATCCCAGTAGCTCTCTTCTGCTGTATCCCAGTAGCTCTCTGCCTCTTCTGCTGTATCCCAGTAGCTCTCTTCTGCTGTATCCCAGTAGCTCTCTTCTGCTGTATCCCAGCTCTCTTCTGCAGTATCCCAGTAGCTCTCTTCTGCTGTATCCCAGTAGTTCTCTTCTGCTGTATCACAGTAGCTCTCTGCCTCTTCTGCTGTATCACAGTAGCTCTCTTCTGCTGTATCCCAGTAGCTCTCTTCTGCTGTATCCCAGTAGCTCTCTTCTGCAGTATCCCAGTAGTTCTCTTCTGCTGTATCCCAGTAGCGCTCTTCTGCTGTATCACAGTAGCTCTCTTCTGCTGTATTCCAGTAGCTCTTTTCTGCTGTATCCCAGTAGCTCTCTTCTGCTGTATCCCAGTAGCTCTCATCTGTTGTATCCCAGTAGCTCTCTTCTGCTGTATCACAGTAGCTCTCTGCCTCTTCTGCTGTATCCCAGTAGCTCTTTCCTGCTGTATCCCAGTAGCTCTCTGCCTCTTCTGCTGTATCACAGTAGCTCTCTTCTGCTGTATCCCAGTAGCTCTCCTCTGCTGTATCCCAGTAGCTCTCTTCTGCTGTATCCCAGTAGCTCTCTGCCTCTTCTGCTGTATCCCAGTAGCTCTCTTCTGCTGTATCCCAGTAGCTCTCTGCCTCTTCTGCTGTATCCCAGTAGCTCTCCTCTGCTGTATCCCAGTAGCTCTCTTCTGCTGTATCCCAGTAGCTCTCTTCTGCTGTATCCCAGTAGCTCTCTGCCTCTTCTGCTGTATCCCAGTAGCTCTCTTCTGCTGTATCCCAGTAGTTCTCTTCTGCTGTATCCCAGTAGCTCTCCTCTGCTGTATCCCAGTAGCTCTCTTCTGCTGTATCCCAGTAGCTCTCTTCTGCTGTATCCCAGTAGCTCTCTGCCTCTTCTGCTGTATCCCAGTAGCTCTCTTCTGCTGTATCCCAGTAGCTCTCTTCTGCTGTATCACAGTAGCTCTCTTCTGCTGTATCACAGTAGCTCCCTTCTGCTGTATCCCAGTAGCTCTCTTCTGCTGTATCACAGTAGCTCTCTTCTGCTGTATCACAGTAGCTCCCTTCTGCTGTATCCCAGTAGCTCTCTTCTGATGTATCCCAGTAGCTCTCTTCTGCTGTATCCCAGTAGCTCTGTTCTGCTGTATCCCAGTAGCTCTCTGCCTCTTCTGATGTATCACAGTAGCTCTCTTCTGCTGTATCCCAGTAGCTCTCTTCTGATGTATCCCAGTAGCTCTCTTCTGCTGTATCCCAGTAGCTCTCTTCTGCTGTATCCCAGTAGCTCTCGTTTGCTGTATCCCAGTAGCTCTCTTCTGCTGTATCCCAGTAGCTCTCTTCTGCTGTATCCCAGCAGCTCTCTTCTGCTGTATCCCAGTAGCTCTCTTCTGCTGTATCCCAGTAGCTCCATTCTGATGTATCACAGTAGCTCTCTTCTGCTGTATCACAGTAGCTCTCTTCTGCTGTATCACAGTAGCTCTCTTCTGATGTATCACAGTAGCTCTCTGCCTCTTCTGCTGTATCCCAGTAGCTCTCTTCTGCTGTATCCCAGTAGCTCTCTTCTGCTGTATCACAGTAGCTCCCTTCTGCTGTATCACAGTAGCTCTCTTCTGCTGTATCCCAGTAGCTCTCTTCTGCTGTATCCCAGTAGCTCTCTTCTGCTGTATCACAGTAGCTCCCTTCTGCTGTATCACAGTAGCTCTCTTCTGCTGTATCCCAGTAGCTCTCTTCTGCTGTATCCCAGTAGCTCTCGTCTGCTGTATTCCAGTAGCTCTCTTCTGCTGTATTCCAGTAGCTCTCTTCTGCTGTATCACAGTAGCTCCCTTCTGCTGTATCACAGTAGCTCTCTTCTGCTGTATCCCAGTAGCTCTCTTCTGCTGTATCACAGTAGCTCTCTGCCTCTTCTGCTGTATCCCAGTAGCTCTCTTCTGCGGTATCCCAGTAGCTCTCTTCTGCTGTATCACAGTAGCTCTCTGCCTCTTCTGCTGTATCCCAGTAGTTCTCTTCTGCTGTATCCCAGTAGCTCTCTTCTGCTGTATCACAGTAGCTCTCTTCTGATGTATCCCAGTAGCTCTCTTCTGCTGTATCCCAGTAGCTCTCTTCTGCTGTATCCCAGTAGCTCTCTTCTGCTGTATCCCAGTAGCTCTCTGATGGAAAAAGGTGGAGACCCTGCGCTACAATCATCCACCTCTGGGTAAACTGTGGTGAGGTGTGACACACATGTGGCTTTAATCCATTACAGTCATTTTCTAAAACTATTATGAATGAATTTGTCAGAAGTCAAAGTTAAACTCTGACATAGGTCCAGGGCAACAGCAGATATATTTAAAACATCTGAACAAAACACTAAACTCACTTACTCTAATCATAAGACCAACCAAGTATGTGATCATCATCTATTTACAGGGCACATGTGGACACCGGAGCACCTGGAGGAAACCCAGGCAGACACAGGAAGAACATGCAAACTCAACACCAGGACACACCTTCATGTTGTACTTTTCTGAAACGGTTTGTTCAGTTTCACGTCTTGTTTTTACGACACAATGATGTGATCACGACACTGCAGTGGGACAGACACAACAACTGTGTCCATTATTCACATTTTAATATTTTACTGACAAACCTTAGAACACACAACTATTTACACTTGTTCAGAATCACAACAACACAAATGACTGTTGGTTCAATATAGAACATCACTAAATGTTTACAATTATGTCACGCATTTGTAACCCGTAAATTATAGATCCATGTGTGTAACAGAATAATATTATAGATCCATGTGTGTAACAGAATAATATTATAGATCCATGTGTGTAACAGAATAATATTATAGATCCATGTGTGTGACAGAATAATATTATAGATCCATGTGTGTAACAGAATAATATTATAGATCCATGTGTGTGACAGAATAATATTATAGATCCATGTGTGTGACAGAATAATATTATAGATCCATGTGTGTAACAGAATAATATTATAGATCCATGTGTGTAACAGAATAATATTATAGATCCATGTGTGTAACCAGTGGGCGGCACGGTGGCTGAGTGGATAGCACTCTCGCCTCTCAGCAAGAAGGTCCTGGGTTCGAATCCCGGCCGGACCAGGGCCTTTCTGAGTGGAGTTTGCATGTTCTCCCCGTGTCTGCGTAGGTTTCCTCCGGGTACTCCGGTTTCCCCTACCACTAAAAATATGTACAATAGGTCTGGCATGCGCCTCCTGTTCGGCGACCCCGCTCCCATCTCTGTGTGGAGTGAGAGGACAAGTGCCCAAGAATAACAATTGTAAACCGCTTTGTGACTCTGGTCTGTGAAAGGCGGTATATAAATAAAACTTACTTACAGTGCCATTGAGGACACAGCGCCCTCTTGTGGCGGCCGCTGCACCTGCACCTTTGCTTCGCGGGAAAGTCCCGAGTCCTTTCGCTGCTGGAGAACTCAGAGGAAACATGTCCGTGAATCTGTGAGAGAAATATGGTTTTACTCATGTGTCCCTTTGAAATGCTCAGCGGGTCATTCATGGCTGTGTGTTATTCAGCTGGTGTGTGTTTCTATGTTTTAGGAAAGTCTCTGTCAAAGATATTTAATTTAACCGTGTTTTTCTGTCTGAGGACCTAGCTTAGCATGCTAACGGTTAGTGGCTAATGTTAGCAGCTAATGGTTAGTGGCTAATGTTAGCAGCTAACGGTTAGTGGCTAACGTTAGCAGCTAACGGTTAGTGGCTAACGTTAGCAGCTAACGGTTAGTGGCTAACGTTAGCAGCTAACGGTTAGTGGCTAATGTTAGCTGCCTTCCGTTAGCAGCTAACTGTTAGTGGCTAATGTTAGCTGCCTTCCGTTAGCAGCTAACGGTTAGTGGCTAACGTTAGCAGCTAACGGTTAGTGGCTAATAGCAGCTAACGGAGACAGAGCAGTAGAGTCCACTACAGTTAATCCACTGCTGCTGTTGTCTGTGCAGCTGTGTAGCTGTGTAATGTCCAGGTTACATATGTTTTCTGTACATTTACTGTGTATTACTGATTAAGGTTAATTGTGTGTTGCACCATTGACAAAACGTAGAAATGACACATTTCTTACGTGGCATTTACAGAATTATTAGTTGAGTAGAAAAATGTCATGTTTGTATCCTATAATCCACTTTGATAAGAACTGTAAACAACGCTATGTTTGGTAAAAGTGTTGTTTTTTGTTTTTAATGTGTAATATCAATATTCTAATGTCATTTAAATACTGTAATATGTTGTTTATTATACATTTTAGTTTAATTGCGTTGAGAACTCCACAGAACGAGTCAGAGCAGAAGAGAGTCCACTACAGTTTATTCACTGTGTCAATGTTATCTGTACAGGTCATTAAAAGCATCTGTCTGAACAACCCCAACAGTCTCCATGGGTCACTAAACAGAAGGTAAGACCCACATTTTTATTTGACACTTTGAGAAATCTGATGTGATTTTAGCCAATAAGGTCAAGGTTTGTCCCTCTGCTCTCTCTGTAGACTCTGCACTTCTGACCGGTGAGACCCTGGTTGAGCTTTTCCCTACAGTGCAACACATTAAACAGAAAGAATAAAAAAGGCCTAGCCCTAAAACACATATTTACAGAAATGATCTAACGCTTAGACATTCCCCCCACCAATGACAGCCATACGGACAATACACATTCACAATCAAGGATACACACACACACACACACACACACACACACACACACACACACACAATACTATTATTTACAGGTTCAACAGTTCCACAGTTTGGCCGTTTTCATGTAGAAAGCAGACTGACCAAATGTGGTTCTTCTGTGTGGGATTGCACAGTTGTTATGGGATGTACTTCTGGTGACTCTGTTGCTGGTCTGTCTCTGTATAAATGAACTTAGTGGCTCTGGTGCCAGGTTATTAATGCTTTTGAATGCTAATTTTAGAGAGTATAGTATTATAAAGTTGTCAAAACTTAGCAGATGACAGTTTTTGAGTATTTTGCAGTGGTGATATCGGGTTGGTTTCTTATCCATAATTTTAATTGCTTGATTGTATAAGGATCAAATGCACTTTGTGGCTGAGGGAGCTGCCTGGGTCCATGCTGTCATGCAGTATGATATATGGGAGAAGATCATCCCATGCATGTACAGCAGGGCCGCTTGATTGGGAATAAAATGTCTTATAAGTTTGAAACAGTTGAGTTTTAGAAAGTTTTTGTATATGTTTATCAAATTTTAGATGTTTCATTCATTTTTGATCTTTCAGTGGGGGCTTTTGGGCAAAGTGGGGTTAAGTGTCTTGCCCAAGGACACAACGACAGCAGTCATCAGTGGGAGTCGGTGGAGAAGGTGCAGAGGTGGGAATTGAACCCACGACCTTCTGGCCTTAAGGCCAATGCTCTACCAACTGAGCTATTGTCGCCCTCATTTTGTAATGTGATTTGGAAATTTTGAGTTATTATTTGAATAGAAAAGCATATGGACACTGTTTTGGTGAGATTTAAGACCAGGTGATTTTGAGAGAGCCACTTGCTCACCTCAGCCATACATGCAGATAACATGTCTGCTGCCTGCTGCATAGAAAACAACATCGTCCGCATAGAGTTGGCACATGACGCCTGGGCAAGATGATGGAAGGTCATTTATGAAGAGACTGAAAAGCAAAGGTCCTATTATGGATCCCTGTGGAATGCCCATTTGTGACTTTAAAAGTGTAGATTTATTTTGAGCTATTTTAACGCATTGTGGTCTGGTCTGGAGGTAGGATGTAAACCACTGTATTGCGTTTGGTGAGGTGTTAAAAGAGGAAATTAGAAAAAAGACAGAAGTAGATTGTGGTTTACAGTCTCAGAGGCTTTTTTCAAATCCAAAAAGACTGCCCCCTCCACTTCACCCCTGTCCATGAACATTTTCAGATTTTTGATAAAACAGCAGTTGGCTATTTCAGTGGAGTGACCTGCCCGGAAGCCAAACTGCTGCGGGTGTAGAAGGTGGTGGGCCTCTAGGTGGTCAGTCAGCTGAGTGGCTACAGTCTTTTCAATAATTTTGGCCATAATAGGTAAGATAGCCATGGGGCTGTAGTTAGACATACTGTGTCCTGTGCTCCTCATGTGAAAATTGGGACAATAACTGCTTTTTTCCACGCCTCCGGGAATCTGCAAGTTCTAATTGAGAGATTGATAAGATGTGTCAAGGGTTTGATTAGTGCAGTCTGATAACTTTTTAGGAAGCAGGTGTTTATATTGTATATGTCATTTGATTTCGAATTTGATAAATATGTTATAATTGATTGACTGCGGAACCTTCCGCAGTCAACCATTGGTTTTGGTTTTCTTTATTCCGTCTTTTTCCTGATTTTTGACACGTTTCACAGCTTTCACATTTTCAACAATTTCCACAAGTTATACATCAAAACGTTCCACATGTTTGGGAGATTATTGCTATTACTTTTGGGACTTCAGCGATTTCCGGTTTTTCCGCAATCGGACAAAAATCGGTCGATTTTTCCCATTGACTTATAATGGGGCTTCCACAAATTCATAGTTTTCAGAATTTTCTTCAACATTTTCAGCATTTTCTGCAGTTTGTGCATGTTCAGCTTCCACAACTTGTGAGTTTTCAGAAAAAAATAGAGTTCTGCAGTTTTCCAGTTTTTTTCTACGGGACTTGGGAATTCTGCCATTAATTTGCATTGAGATTTCTGCAATGCATTTTAATATGCCCATGCATTTTAATAGGACTTCAGCTCTTTCAGACATTTCTACAGTTTCAATGATTCAACAGTTTCAATGATTCAACAGTTTCAATGATTCAACAGTTTCAAGGACTTCAGCAGTTTCAAGGTTTCAAGAGTTTCAAGGACTTCAACAGTTTCAAGGACTTCAACAGTTTCAAGGACTTCAACAGTTTCAAGGACTTCAACAGTTTCAAGGACTTCACCAGTTTCAAGGACTTCAGTGTAATCATGCAACCTAATAGGGATTTTTCCATGTAAACCAGTATAATGCAACTTAATAGGGGTTTTTACATGTAAACCAGTATAATGCAACTTAATGGGGATTTTTCCATGTAAACCAGTATAATGCAACTTAATAGGGGTTTTTACATGTAAACCAGTATAATGCAACTTAATAGGGTTTTTTCCATGTAAACCAGTATAATGCAACTTAATAGGGATTTTTCCATGTAAACCAGTATAATGCAACTTAATAGGGATTTTTCCATGTAAACCAGTATAATGCAACTTAATAGGGTTTTTTTTCATGTAAACCAGTATAATGCCACTTAATAGGGTTTTTTTCATGTAAACCAGTATAATGCAACTTAATGGGGATTTTTCCATGTAAACCAGTATAATGCAACTTAATATGGGTTTTTACATGTAAACCAGTATAATGCAACTTAATAGGGTTTTTTTTCATGTAAACCAGTATAATGCCACTTAATAGGGTTTTTTACATGTAAACCAGTATAATGCAACTTAATGGGGATTTTTCCATGTAAACCAGTATAATGCAACTTAATAGGGGTTTTTACATGTAAACCAGTATAATGCAACTTAATAGGGTTTTTTCCATGTAAACCAGTATAATGCAACTTAATAGGGATTTTTCCATGTAAACCAGTATAATGCAACTTAATAGGGATTTTTCCATGTAAACCAGTATAATGCAACTTAATAGGGTTTTTTTTTCATGTAAACCAGTATAATGCCACTTAATAGGGTTTTTTTCATGTAAACCAGTATAATGCAACTTAATGGGGATTTTTCCATGTAAACCAGTATAATGCAACTTAATATGGGTTTTTACATGTAAACCAGTATAATGCAACTTAATAGGGTTTTTTTTACATGTAAACCAGTATAATGGAACTTAATAGGGTTTTTTACATGTAAACCAGTATAATGGAACTTAATAGGGGTTTTTACATGTAAACCAGTATAATGGAACTTAATAGGGGTTTTTACATGTAAACCAGTATAATGCAACTTAATAGGGATTTTTACATGTAAACCAGTATAATGCAACTTAATAGGGATTTTTCCATGTAAACCAGTATAATGCAACTTAATAGGGTTTTTTACATGTAAACCAGTATAATGCAACTTAATGGGGATTTTTCCATGTAAACCAGTATAATGCAACTTAATAGGGGTTTTTACATGTAAACCAGTATAAAGGATAACAGTTTAAAGGATATCAGGAGCTTCAAATACTTCAGGAGTTTCAAAGATGTTTAAAGTATTTTAACACAGTTTCAAGGATTTTTCAGCTAAATTCCACATTAGATCTGTTCCGCAGTCAATCGCAATGGCTTCAGCCATTGCAAGTTTCTAGTTCTTGTTGTTTTTTCATCAATTTCCGAAATTTGGAAATATCTATTGTTGGGCCTAGATCTGAGAGTTTTGAGGTCTTGAAATGACTAGTTATTTATTTTATTGATTGGACAAAGTGATTGTTAAATTCAGTGTAATGGGGGCACTGTTGGTAATCCTGTTGCCATTTATTGTGATCTGCATAATGGCAAGGAAAGTTTATTTATATAGCACAATTCATACACAAGGCAACTCAAAGTGCTGAACAAAACAAGAAAGCATTAAAATCATAAATAATCACAGAACATTAAAAAGAAAGATAAAAATATAAAATCCCCCAGTTGTATGCACAGCTAAACAGAACTGTCTTTAACCTGGTTTTAAACATTGTCAGAGAGGAGGCCTGTCTCACATCTTCAGGAAGACTGTTCCAGATTTTAGCAGCATGAATCTGAAAAGCAGCCTCCCCATGTTTAGTTCTGACTCTGGGCACTAACAGGAGTCCAGTCCCTGTGCTCCTCAGAGTCCGAGCTGGTTCATATGGGACTAACATGTCACTAATATATTTTGGTGCGAGGCCATGGAGAGACTTATACACAAGCAGAGCTGTTTTAAAGTCTATTCTGAGCCACAGGAAGCCAGTGCAGAGACCTGAGAACTGGACTAATGTGGTCGTACTTCCTGGTTCTAGTCAGGACTCGAGCTGCTGCATTTTGAATGTACTGCAGCTGTTTTACAGCCTGTTTGGACAGACCTGTGAGCAGGCCATTGCAGTAGTCTTGGAGACAAAGGCATGGATAAGAATCTCCAAGTCTGCTTTAGACACTATGTTTTTGATCCTGGCAATGTTTTTTAGATGGTAAAAAGCTGCTGATGTTACTGATTTGATGTGGCTATTAAAATGTAAGTCTGAGTCCAGTATTACCCCTAGATTTCTGACCTTGTTTGAAGGTTTTAGGGAGAGAGACTGTAGGTGACAGATGACGCTCTCTCTTTGTTTCTGGGGACCAAAGACAATCATTTCAGTTTTGTCTGCGTTTAGCTGAAGGAAGTTGTTTTGCATCCACTCACTGATCTGTTGGATACAGTGAAGGAGTGAGTCCACTGGTCCATGTTCTCCTGCAGTCAGTGAGAAATATTTCTGAGTGTCGTCTGCATAGTTATGATAGGAAACTTTGTTTCTGCGTATTAACTGACCTAACGGCAGCATGTAGAGA